TTTTTTTTTAAACGTAGTATGTAGTTGCTTATTAACTGGCTGTTTGTTTGGACAATGTATTTACTGAAGTAATGATAACATCATTCTTTGTTTCTTATAAAGGAAAATCAACTGTATTATGATCCAGCAACTGGAATTTATTACTACTGTGATGTGGAAAGCGGCCGATACCAGTTTCATTCACGAGTGGATCTGCAGTCTTATCAGACCTCTGGTACTCAGCACGGCAAGGAGAAGAAAGGGAAAAAGAAGAGAAAAGAACCAGAGCGGATTACTGCAAATGAGTATAAGGTAACTGTAGAACTGACAGATAGAAAATGCAAAACCTGGGGGTTGGTTTGTTTTTTTTTTGATGATGCAATTTAGGGCTTGTGGGGTTTTAATTTATGTAGAGGATGTATGCTTGTTTTCTGAAGGATTCAAATATCTTTAAACTGTATACAGCAGGCTGCTAACATGTAGTTAGTGTTCAAATAATTCTCCTAGTGAGTGTTTAAGGGTGAAACTTTATGCTTGGATTCCCTCACATTTTCAATGTTGATTTTATTACAACACAACTGTATAGATGCATAAAATTGAGTGTCAGTGAAGCTCTCTGATTAGCAAGCACTAGATTGGATTCGAGCTACTGTGTGGACTGTATTTACATCAGAAATTCAGTGTTACCTCAGTGTCTTGGTTTTAGGGTTTTGGTTTGTGTTTTTTTGTTGTTGACTGTTGGGTTTTGTTTTTTTTAATTCATGTGATGAATAAAAAAATGACTGAAGGTTTTGAAAATGCACACACACACACCACCCCCTCTCTGTGACTCAGTTGCAAAGCTCATTCTGTTGATGTTTTACTGTATCTTAACCAGCATTTGAGATTGATGAAATGTCTGTGAAGTTCTAATTCTTTTCCTATTACGCTCTCCTATGAGATTTTATTTGGTCAATACATTTTTGTTGTCCATAGTGTGGGGATAAGTTTTACATCTTAGTAAATGCCCCTTGTAGTTAACTTGTATTTTAAGTTATAAAAAACATAACTTCCTTTCTGTTGTTTTTCCAATTGCTCAGGAAGTATGCAGTATAGTACATAGTGACTGTCTTGAAAAATTACTCACTCCTAAGCACCAGAAATTTTACTGTAACAGAGCTATTGAACCTCAAGAAGCATTTTCTTAATGAATACTATTAATGTTGAATCAAATTTGAATGGTCCTATTCTGCAAATTTGTTTTATTACTTAAGATTTAATTGTATGTATTGATTTATTTAGTTTGTAGTGCTCCTTAGTTTTCATCTTTTAAAACTATTGCTTTAACCATTGCATTATTTCATTATGTAGGCCTCAGTCAAGATGATTGGTTGAAATTTGAAATAATTATGTTAGTGTACAGGTACTTTTACATAATAATTACATAGCATCAGAACGGAGTTTAAAAATACTGTATCAGTAGTCAGGTCTTCTGAAAGATTTGAAAATGGAAACTGTTCACATTAAGAACCAGGGAAGGTAGGTTACGTGGGTGATGGTATTTGATCAGTTACAGATTTTGTAAATACATTGTTTTTCATTATGCCCTTTCATTTAGAAACTAGTCTGTTTTGAAAGCTTGAAGTGGATACTTAGCAACACTAAGTGTAACAATCCTTTAGACCTAAGAGAGGGGAGCTAATGCAGTTGAAGCTAGGAGTTTCACCGGCATCTGAGTTCTAGGCATGCTGTGTGCAACTGCTGAATTAGCATTCTGCCACTCTGAAGAAGCATGGTTAATACAGAACTTTGTTCATGATGTGTCAGGAAAGCATCATGGTAAGCTTGTGGAAATGAACCTTTATCATATAGTGCAATTAATAAATCTCTTAAATTTTGTTCTGTGATGAACTGTTACATATTGGCCTAAATCAGCAAGTGTATTTATACAAGTTCTGTGGCATACACAGCTTTCATCTAACAAATAATGTTGACTGCTTTTTAGGATCTCATCACAGTCCGCTTCTGTCATCTGATTATACTGTAAATAGCTACTTGTGTTTAGCTTATTTTATAATTATAATATATTTTTATATAGATGGTCTTGTTAACAGATCTTTTGTGTGAAGCTTTCACAGTCACAAGGTTGGAGGTAAACATCCACTTTTTATGATGTGTTTTATTGATAGTGAGCTGAGGACTTTGCAAATTAATTTGTGAATTATTTGTGAATTCATTTGTTTGACCAGTAAGATAACAGGAAAAATATTTAAAACAGATTCAGTAGTGCATAGATCTTTGTATCTGTGAACAGTAAGTGAAAGTTAGTGTCATAGTAAGAATCAAGGCCTTTTCTGTTTTCTTTTTAAGCAAAAAAGGGGAGAATACCAAGTGAAACTTAAAACAATTACTCTCCACTTTAAACTTCAAAAAAAGAAAAGAATGCCTTTTTGTCAGTGCACTTCTATGTAAAGGCACTGTTAGATTTAGAAAAAACAAAGTGCCTTACTGTCATATTTTCTGTAGCTGAGTTAAAATAGTTTGATTGTTGTGCAGTTCTTAATCATATAAGAAATTCGTTCATTAGTTTAAAAAAAGTTGTATTATGATAAAAGATTGATTTATTAGAATAAAAGAGTACCGATTTTTCTGTTATGAAACTGAAAAAATAGTTTATAAGCTGCACAAGCCAGTTCATAGATGCCTGGTAGTTCTTGGCAATATTACCGTTGCCCGGTTTGTTCTGGTATTGGTAGAGGCACTGATTAGTTCGTGCTAGTTACTGTATTATTTACATTCTAAAACAAAACCAAAAATGTCTGGTTTTAAGTAGACCTTTGTAGTTGAAGTGTTGTCTATTGAAATGTTTTTCTACAGTCTTATGCCCAGCCTACTCCCTTTTCCTTCCATTCCCTCGTCCCTCTTGACAAAAAACATACTAAGGTAAAATAAAACCTATGCCTGAATACTGATTAAATTATTAAAGTTGCAACAGTTATTTTGAAGATTAGTACTTCGTTATTGCTTTTCCCAGTTGGTTATTAAATTGTGCTGCTAGCCTGAAAAATGCCTCCAAACATTTTTAATTTCTTGACTGAAGTAGGTTTTACTCAACTTTCTTTTTCTAGAGCCAGTATCAGCGGGAGAATGGTTTGGTTTATTGCCTGGTCTGCAGACCAATTACAGTGATAAATAAAGCAATACTAGATCTAAATTTGGGAGTATGTCATACACCCCTTGAACATTATTATTCCTGGGTAAAGATGAGGTGGTTTATAAGAATATGCATGTGAAGCGGGGGAAGGCAGTGAGCAGTAATTACAGAACCTCAAGTACGCAAGACGGTTGTTAAACTTCTCTCTCTTTTTAACATTACTTAAAAGTTGTCAAATACAAGAAATAAAGGAATTTAGCAGCTGCATGTGTATATTATCACAGCAAATATTCCTACGTAGATGGTACTGGTAGCTATGTAGTTTTTATAAAAATCGTATGTCATTTTTGTATGACTTCCTATAAACCACAGTTGATCTCTTTTTAATCTAAGAACAGTCGTAACTGGGCCAATCTGTTAACTTGCTGTTTCTGGTCACAGCACAGTTCTTAGTTGCAGTTTAGTTTGTAGCAATTGTGAAGAATTTTATGTGCTGAGCTATCTTACATCTAGTATCTATTTATAAGTAGTAAGTTAGGATGCTTAACAATACAGAAATGGTATTCTCCACAAATATTACAGCATTCTTGAAAAAGTAATATAAATCTGAAACTCTAAAGAATAAAATTAATCTGTTAAAATACTCTTTAATTTTTGACAAGCTGAATTACCAAACAAGAAAACATTAGTGAGCGTCTGCTAAAATGAATGTAACTCTAATTGAAAAAAAACAGTGGAGGGGACCTCTTGTGCTTAGTATCTCTTGAGGGATGTTTCTGATTTATACAAGAACTTTCTTTAAAGAGATTCTTTCTTTTCAGCCACCAAAATTCTATATTACAAATAGTTTTCTTTTGACATGTGAAACTAAGCATGCTGCCCACATGCTTGCTTTCAGTAGACAACCAGGAATTTTATTTGCCAGGATGAAGTATTAGATATCCTCTGTGCAGCTCATATAAAGAGCATGGGTGGAATACTTTGGAAGTTTCAGGCATATAGTTCAGTTCTGATACTTTTCTGCAGTGGTGGGCCAAAAAAGCAGTAGGGCAAGAAATACCATCATTATCTCCTGTACATGAAAAACCTTTAAATAAGTAAATTTGGAAAAGTTTTTCTTAAAAAAGAAAGTCAAAACAAACCAAATCACAAGGTGGCATCAATGATAATGTGATAATGTGGCCCAATATCTAGATCCAGTGCTTCTGTAGAGGTTGGAGAATAGAGCGTGTGCAATAGTGGTCATGTAGTTCTACTTGCTGGATTTGGGCTGTTAGAAATACATACCAAAATTTAGATGCAGGGTCTGACATATGCCATTTTTTTCCCAGAAATTATTTTTACAGTTTATTCTTAAACTACTGTCTAATAAATTTTATTCTAGAGTGGTGCTCAAAATTAACTTCCCCCATATTCTTCTCCATTATAGACGCATCCTAGCTACTTATGTAGCAGAGACAAGGCTTTTGTAGTAGTATTTCCCATAGAACTCTTGAAGCAGTGATTTTTTTTATTTTTTTTTTTTTTTAAATCACATGTAGTTTACTTTTTGCTGATATTCATCCCATCTTTAGGTACGTCAGTTGACAGAAACCATGGCTAATCTGAAGATTTCTTCTTTTGGATTGGCAGCTTCTGGTGAAGGTAGAGTTGAGACACCAAACACATTAGTCTGTGGATGTTTACCTTTAACCTTGGTGTTTTTATTAAAGGAAAAATATCTAGTAGTTTATGTTTAGATATCTATTTTCCTAAAGGAATTAATAATATTTTTAAGCTATTTGATCAAAATCAGTTCATCTGCAAAGTAACTTTGAAATATATTTGAAACACCGTATAACTAAAACATCTGAGGAAAACTTTGATGATATTCTAGAATATTTGGAAAGAGACGCATTTAGTGTCACTGTATGAACATAGGGTATCCTGACTAAACAAACTACTTGTTCTTTAGGTAAGGCAAATTAATGTTTCATGTATTTCAGAGCTGTCCAGCAGTGTATAAAATGTCTTCTTGATGATATAGGAAGAGTTTTACTCATCTTCTGGCTTTTAATTAGATTTTTTTTTTTGCATTGGAAATTCAGATATTGTGTAGGGTGGAAGACAGTAACAAATACTTGTGAAACAGTGCTAGCAAGTGAAAGTTTAGTTATCTGAGTGAAGGAGCTATTTAAAACTGTTTGACAATATTTCTTTAGTAAAATACTGAATTTCAGATTAATATTTCGAATTGAGAGAGTCAGCGCTAAAGATCTAACATTCAGCCCTTTAGATGAAGGTGTTTACCCATGGTTCCATGAAGTCACCTACTGAACCTCTGGCAAACTAAGAAGCAACAGACTATTCATTTCTGAAAAGTTGTATTTGTATGTATTTATGTTTTGTATAAAATAAATTGATTTAGAAAACAATACAGTTTAATGGTCTGTAGAATTAAGCTAACTATGGTCACAATAATTTTCAAATTCTAATTTATAGGCATGTTAAAGAATTGCATGAACATGCATGTCAATCAGGCATAATACAGAAAATGTAAAGTTTTGAAAGACCGAATGTTTGTCTTTGTCCCAGTAAAGCAAAAAGTATAGTTAAATGCTTAAAATACTTTGAATTTTTCATTAAAATCACTTCAGTTACTATGATTGTTTGTGAATGTGTTGTAAGTAGGCCAATCTGCACTTCAGAAGGTCATTGTAATCAGTAGCTTCTGGCTTATTCTTTGTAAAGCAAAACCATCAATTCTAGTCACACGAACATGATTTGTAATTCTTAAAAGGTCACTCCTTATGGGACACTAAAAAAATCTTGATTTCACTTGCACCGTTGGCTGTCTTTGTCAGGGGTGCAGAAATATGAACTGGCTCAACCCTGCAGTAAGAAACAGTTTAACCAGACCCAACCCACAGGGATGTCTTCTGCCTCCCTGGGGCCTGGCTTAGAAACATTGCTGGGAAACTCCCTGGTCTGGTGTGGCCCTGTGATTATTAGGTTGACGGTTGGACTTGATGATCTTAGAGGTCTTTTCCAACCTCTATAATTATATCATTACAGATCAGATTCATCGCACCTCTCAACTTTACTCATGCCTAGTGAGAGAAAAGCCAAAGATAGTGTGGCGATACCCAGTAGATACAAAGTTTTTTCAAAGCTGAACCACATAGAGGCAATCTATATCCAGCGTATGGCTGCTGGGCTAGGTCTACTGACAATTTAGATATAACAAGCAAAGCAACATACAAAGGAATGTATGTGCCTAGTATTATGGTGTAACAAACATGGTTATAATGAGCGCATACTTTGTATGTTGTATAATGAGTTTGGGATGAAGAGTTAAATATCCTGCTATTGAGAAATGAAGTGCATTACTAGTACTTGTTAGGTCATTCAGGATGATATTTACTGAATATTCTGTTAACTGCTGGTTCCTGTTTTTTAAGCAGTGGCTGTATGGAGGCAAGGTGTTAGGTGCTGTTTGCATAGTTACACTTTCATGCATGCTATGTGTATTTTGTGTTAGTACTAGTAGTCATATGTAATGGAAAAGGTTTTCTTCAGCAGAAGTGAAGAACCCCTCACATGCTATAAGAATACATTCAGCATCCCAGGCTTAATGGTTAGACATCGTCAAGACATGCATTTTACTACAAAACTGCAAAATTATAAAGGGCTTAAAATACATAGTCTTTAGCAATGCAATTTTTGCAATCCTCAATTTTGTGCAAGGATTTCTAAATGCAAAGATTACATTTTTATCAGTACTGATAAACTGGAACTATTTAGTTTATTTGAAGAACAATTTAGTTTATTTGCTTTCTTAACAGTTGATTGTAGTAACAGTGGAAAAAATATAGAAACTGCTGAGAACAGGCTTAGTGGTCATATCGGCAGAACGTATGTACAGAATCCTAGGTCAGTCTACAGGAGTGTTTTTTGAAATTCCTCTTTTCAACCCAGAACAGAGTCTACTCTCCAGTAGCTAGGCTTTGAAGTAGCACCTTTTTATTTTCTAATTTGGAATTGATGCCAAAAACAGGTATCACTGGATTCACTGTGCAGAAAGAGCTGTGTGGCTGGAGCATTATACTTGGGCATCAGTGAATCAGTCATCTGTTGCTTTGCTTCAGGTGTGATTTAAGCTAAGACTAGTTTCTATGTTTTCAGATTAGATTAATAAAACTTTGGTGGATCACAGTATTATGGAAAGAAATACATTTAGGATTCCAGAGCACCTTGATATGTTGGGTATCAATCTAATATCCATACCAAACAGTACAGACAAAGATAATTACACTGGAAAAGATCATTCATAAAAGCAATAATCAGATTTGTGAAAAAGATTTCTAATGGTATTAATGTGTCTGACGTGTATGTACTGCATAATCTTACTTTTGGTAGGATTACTACGTCTCTTACTTAAAATAAACAACATCAGGCTCTGACATTGCGATCCTGTTCCTTCCTAGTTCCAGTACTTAAAAGATTCAGGGAGAGGACTAGTGCATTACAGAGAAAGCCTAAACAAACCAATAGTCCTTCAGTTAAAGCAGGAGGCCTTTTAAAAGTTGCTGATTATTCCTGAGAATCTGCTGTCTTATTGAAAGTGTTTCAAAAGTATGCTGTAAAGTCATATCCAACGTTTTGGCTGCTGGGCGGAGAGGAATTTTTGTGTGTGTCTTACAGCTGTACCCCTGGTGAGTTTTTACAGATCTGAAAAGTGAAAGTTCTTTAATTTCCATTGTGTTAACATTCACATTAATTCATGTATCTTGAAATGTAAAATGCTCTATACAAAAACTTAAACTCAAGGATGGTTTTTATTTCAACTTCTGTGTTGCAATATTTGGTACGATTCAGGGCAATTGAATCCACTCATTCTGAATCCAAGGTGGCAAATAACTTAAAATCTGAGATTTTTACTTTATCTTTTAAAGCCATTTGTGTTATTTCCTTGCCCCCCCCCAAGACAGTCATCAGGGCTACTAGATTAAGAATTACATTTTCAAGGTACTCTGGAAAAATTACTCTGAAACTTTAGATTTCTCAGTTAAAAAAATGGTCTTTTTTCTGCTGATGAAATCAAGTGGCAATGGAAGAACATGCAGTGATCTAATCTGTCTGGTACTCAGTGGAGAAATTTGTTGCAGTAGATAATGGATTCTAAGTAGAACTGTTCCACTCAGCATAAATTAAACTTAAGTTCTCTACAGTATCTTGATGAAAGGCTTTGTTAAAGATGCAATTTTGAAAGGAGGAGAATCAGTCATTAGGCAAGCATGGGTGGGCATTCCAGATATTCTTGACCATTGTGGAAAATAAGACAAGACAAAAACAGGTGGAAGATATGATGAAGATCAATTAAAGAACTTTTAAACAAGTTGCAAGAATTGAGTAAGAGAGGGACAGAAGTAAGTGTCATAAAAGCAAAACTGGAAAATTTTCAAGATGCTGTTGTACAAGTTTGAAAGTGAGGACAAGGATCCTAAGTTTTGTGTGAGAAAAGAGCAAGGAATAAGTGAAGTTTAGAAGAGGAGTGCAGTCACGCTTTCCCAAATAGAAGATGGTCTCAGACACGTCTAATAGGATATGAAAGTATTTCTGCTGAAATGTTCTGTTTTAGTTTAGCATGTGCTAAACTTCTGGAAATGTAACCATTCTTTAATAGTTGTAAAAATAATTCTTCCTAGTGAAGGATTTACTTCCAGGCTGATAGCAGACCTTAGAATAACTCAGTCTGTAAAGAATGTAACATTCTATAACTCCCCTCCAGGATCTGGACACAGAAGAACAGCAATCATCTAACAATCTGAATTGCTTTTCCGCTGCTGAGCAAGTAAGTTCTGCTGAAGAAGAAGAATCTCCAAATGTAAGAAAGAAGACTAAAATGGATGCAAAAACACAAAGCAGTTTGACAGCCAAAGAATCAGTTTCTACAGACAGTATAAATTCACATTCACGCAAAAGTACACCTGATACTGCAGCATATACAGATGACAGTAGAACAGCAGACACAGTGAGTGAGCCAGAAGAAGGTGAAATTACAGATTCTGAGTGCGAAGCCTACAGCAGTGAGGATGAAGTAACAAGTGAAGAAACTGCTGATTCAGAAAACTCAGAAGACGAAGGTGAATTATTGTGGCTTTTATGTATGATATTACTGTATTTTTTCAGGAGCCCATTAAAAACAAACTACAAGAAACCTGTTTGGATAGTTAAAAAATAAATAAAAAGCATGTGACTTGAGATATTTTGAATTAAAAAGTGCTATATCTTACCAATATTTGTTTCCTTCTCTTTACTTGCACGGTAGACAGAATTAATTAGTGGTGTTTTTGTAAAAGCTGTTTAGGGGTATAACTTCCTTTGCTTGTGTAGAAACCTCAGGGGTAGAATAAGATTTGTTTAGATCAGGATAGTGACAGGAGAAAAGGAAGTGTGTAGCTAACACAGAGATTCTGGTACATACCTCACAGTAATTCCCTGTAGTAACTCTCTTCAATTAATGTGTAATATTCCTGATGCTGTTCATAAACAATCAATGTGTAACTCCATGTAATGTGAATCCACTGTGGTGAAAAGGATGAATCTGGAGTACTCGGTACTATTTGAAATCCTGTTTTTCTTGTATTCCAGTGGAAACATGTAAGAAATGGGTATAGAGAGGAAACCTGTATGCTGTTTTGTACCAAAGAAAGTGTTATCCTAGGTCCTTAAGACCTCCTTGAGAACTGAAAACGAAAGGGTTTTTTTAAAAAAAAAAAAAAAAAAAAAAAGTAACTTGTGGAAAGCGTAATGCAACCAATTGGAACAAGGTACACACAAAGGATATTCGACATCACAGAATGAAATACAACCTATAGAAGTCTGTACTGCAGCCTGTGCCCTGCTCACAGTTAAGGAGTCAGTTTATTTCTTCTATTTTCATTAGTTTACTTTCTCAGCTACTCAGATTCTGAAGGATTAATGCCATTCAGAATGGGTTTGCTACCATCAGGCCTTCAGATTAAATTTCCTTCTCTTACTATTTTCTAATAATCAATTCTGCAGTAATGCTGGAGCAATGAAAAACTGGAGACAGTTTCTCTCCTCCTAGTACCTTTTGAGCTAGTGTCTTCCCATCTTACCACGTCTATTCCTAGCCAAGATCATTGGAGACTTTCTGCAAATGTACATGAACAACAAAGTTCGTGCAGCTGTTAGAATATAATTACTTAGCAGATACCAAGGCAAAAAAGCTTATGCATCTGTAGGCTCGTCTATTTTGTTTTATCTCGGTGCATAGTGAGCTTTAGGGACCTCTTAGCATAGGGACATTTTAAAAGGTCCCTTCCAACCCAAACTATATTATGATTCTATGATAGTGCTAGTAAGAGAAAAAAACAGCCAAAATACATTTCATGTAGAAATTATCAACTATAAATTTCTACATGCATTAGGTTTGTGATGTGGTGAAAAAAGGCTGCTGACTTTTCTCAGAGTAAAATTTTTATTCCAATCTGTTATGATTAATAATTAATTCTAATCTGTTATATAGTGGTCCATATATTTATGCTAGTAAATTCTGTGAGTGTATTTATACACACAACTAAACAGTTGTGCACATGTAAATAACCAGAATTAGTAAAACATTTTTAATACTTTAGTGTGTATTCAGAAACAGTAGTCTCATCAAAGTTTTCTTTCAGATGTGCTTACACATTTCTTTTTCTGAAACTTGTGTAGAATTCAGGCAGATGATGGCTGAATGTATATCAGTTGTTTGAAAGCTATGGATTATAGGGGTAAAACTAATTTGTCGGTAGTAACATCATTTTTTTTATAATTATAGATGAAGAAAAGATCTGGCCTCCTTGTATCAGAGTAATTGTAATAAGATCGCCAGTTCTGCAGACTGGATCACTTTATATTATCACAGCTGTGAAACCTGCTACAATTGGAAGGTAAAACTGCATGGAATTTATTATATACAGTTCGAAACTGTACCTTGCTTGGAAAGATGTGGAAGCCACTCTGGATTCCTTGTCGCTACTTTTCGTACTTGTCCTCCTAGCAAGCCGCAGTTGTTAGGTACTCTGAGTTAGGTTAGCCCACAGCAAGAATTTTAAGTCATGTCACATAACGTCATGCTTGCTGTGACAGCAGCATATGCAGTTTATGTAGCTCAGCAGACATGAAAATTTGTTAGTGATAACTTGATCTTGTGTCCAAGTCCTGACAGCAGCATAGCTGGAAGTCATTCTTTGAAAACTTCTTTACTTGCTTTTCTAGAAATTAAGTAAACTTTTTTCCTGAGCCACTAAGGTAACTTTTTCAGAAATGGAAGGACACACTTCACAAATTCAGGGTCACAAGGAAGCATATCCTAGGCTTCCTCACACATTCAAAATCTAGTAGGGTTGGTTCATCATTTTTAAATGAGTTGGGTTTTATGCTAGCCTGTATGCATTCTTCCAGTTCTAATATTAAAAAAATTAAAAATTTGGTTCATTGTGGATGACAAATTTAATGATGAATTAATACTTTCTTCCATGATTACTGAAAACCTCACCCCTTTTCAGCTGCTTTTATCTAATGCTGATAGATGTGTTTTGATTTGCTGTTATAGCTGGAGTTTTCTCGGTACATTTATGTGAAGATTAACAGATGACAATTCTGCTTGCAATTTGCAAGCTTTTGCTAGCTGCATTTCTTCTTCATCCCCTAGTTTAAGACACTAATACATAAATTCCTTCCTCCTGCTGCAGTGGTTTTGACCAAAACAAAAAAAAAGAATTATATAGATTACTCTTGCATTGCTTGTATTACCTGCATAATTCTTGAATACCAAGAATACAACTTCAGCATTGAAGACTGATGCCAAGATGAGCTTGAAGGATGCAGAGTTCAGACTATTATTTGCAGGCCTTATATGAGTATAAAAGCTTAGCTAGAAATGTCAGGTTTATATATAAAATTTAAAGGTACATATTTATCATATATTCATTGCCTACTGTGTACAGTTTCTAGATGGAAGAAGGAACGTGAAGCAAGTCTTTACATTGTGTATACTGCAACACAGTGTTTTACATCTGTAAAGCTCCCTAATAGCGCAGAAGAGAAACATGGTATTGAGGTTCAACTGATATACACCTTTTGTAAACCACTTATTAGACCTGTTTCTACTTTGTTGTGATTTATGTATCAACTTGCCTTTCCAGAGAAAAAGATGTTGGACACACACTTCAGATTCCTGAAGTTGGAGTCAGTAAGGTAACTCGTTTCTGTCTGCTGAAAGGTAGAACAGCATATGAATGAAGCTTTAGATTTTATGGCTTTAAATTTGCAAAATCTTATGGTAATTTTTTTAAAGAACTTTTAGAATGAGGTGTGGGTTTAGCAACATTTGAAATTAGAAAAAGGAAAGCATATAGTATTTTACTGAACAGGAATTTAACACAAACAGCAGTGTGATTTCAAAGTCTATGGAAGCTGAGTATTTTTATAAATTGGAGTTTTACTAATCCACATTTTAATGCACAGTAAAAAAATTACACTTAAAATCTTTTATTTCTTAGTTATTGAACTTGAGGAAAATGTATTCCTCTGTTAAGTATTAATGGTATATAAACTATGGATGTCAGCTAGTTAGAACTTTGTCATAAAGTAATCCAATCCTTACAGTTTAGCTCAGAGCAACAGGTTTTGTTTCATTTTTCTTCAAGGCACCGGTATAAATATGTAAATGATGTACAAGGAGTTTGAAAATTTAACAGTTTTTTTCAGTGACAGATTGTAATGGAAAATTTTTCTTCCGGTTAAGAAAGACTAAAGATAAATTATGTGCTCTGTAAACTACTTTAACACAGACCATCAATACAGCTCTCTTAATAAAAGAAAATGTAGATTGACAAAGATGTGTCATCCAAACAAACAAACAAACAAAAAAGATAAAAACATCTGCAAATGCAAGTAGCTGAAATAATGCTTTACTATGCCTGTTCCAGATGATAGTTCTGATTAATCAGCCATGTACCGTATTTCATACTGAATAATTTCCAGAGCAAATCTTTCCCTGCTATTAATGACTTTTTCAGGCATGTATTTGAAATTGGGTGCTTAAAGAACCCAAAAGGCTTTTATTTTTCTGTAATGTTACCATTTTAATACTTTGTGGATACCTGACTGTTTATATAAAAAGTCATTTCATTTTGCAGATAAGGAATCAAAGGCAGGAAGATAAATGACATATCTGTAGAAACAAAAAGTTAACTACCAGTTTGTTTTCCTCACTATTCATATTTGATAGCTGTGGACCACTTTGGCATTTGCTTTTCTTGAGTGTAAAGTGAGATTTTAAAAGACAACACTACACCCTGCAGAAGAAGTTTCGGTTCATCCTGTCCAACAAAATACTATTTTGATTTTTTTTTAATTACTGAATGTAGCAACTGCTATTGCTCAGACATAAGAAAAGATTTGCTTTTAAATGAACCCTTTCTTCACAGATTGACTCGGTTTTTCTCCTCAACTATAGCAAAAAGGATATTTGCTTGTCAAATTTGAAACTGTCACTTTTTTAGACTTCTGGTTTTTACTGGGAGTCTTAGCAGGTGACAGATACTTAGTCTTTACAACTCTGCAGAATTTGATACTTTGGTTTGCTCAGTAGTCGTTTTTGGAAGTTTTTGGCCAGGAGCTGTGTTTCTCTGTTCTGTGTGGGCTTAGGAGCAATACCTATACAGAATTGCAACAACAAAGCAAACAAAAAGAATTAGATTGTTAGACTCAATATCAGAATGGATATAAAAGGAACAGCAAATGATGGCTAGTAATTGTGTCCTGGGCATTAAGATGCAGGTGAAGGAGAATTATGTGAAATTTACAAAAGCATGGCATTTAGGGAGCAATCTCAGCTATGAAAGACCAAGTAACCTGAAGCTGTAGAACAAGATCAGATGTTTTTTAATTGAAAGAGGAAAAACTGAATGCTGTAACATACCTTACAAGAAAAAATCCTTTTATTTATAAGAACAGTTAAAAATGCTGTGTTACTGAATCTTGCAGTCCTTTAAGTAAAGCTTATTTGCCCCATTGGAAGCGTATGCTTTTTCAGTACTAAATCAGTTTATGGTCAAAATAGTTATTACTAGTATACTGTAGCTCATGTTGTTGTAGCCCATTCATTTACATTTCATATGGATGAAATCATAAGGCGTGGAATACTCTGTAAACTTCGAGTACCAGGGCCACTCATTTAAAAGGCCTCAAAATGTTTTCTGAAATCTTACTTTAATATAGAATATAAATAGTGAAGTATTTGCTTAATAAGAAACTTTCACTTAGGCTTCTATTTATTAGTTCCATGCAGAAGTGTATTTTGACAACGACTTGCAGAACTATGTTCTTGTGGATCAAGGCAGTCAGAATGGAACAGTTGTTAATGGCAATCAGATTCTCCAGGTGAGTACAAATATGTTACAGCAAATCACGAACAGTGACATTATGTGCGTTCTTTCATACGTTAGTCTCTTCCTTGGATCCCTTCTGGTTTTAGGGCCACTTACAATACTTCATGTTTGGTTTAATTGGAAAAATCCATTAGAGTTGCAGTTGCTAGAGTGAAATACCCACTGTAGTTAAATACTTGCCTGCATTTGTGAGACCAAACTGAGTTACTAAATTATGAGCAGTATTCATACTTGTATACGAAATAGAGTTTGTGCCCTTCATTAACTAATTAACATGGCTGCCAAAACTTTCTTTTGCTGTAGCCTAAAATAAAGTGTGATCCCTACATCTTGGAGCATGGAGATGAAGTGAGGATTGGTGAAACTGTGCTTTCTTTTCACATACATCCTGGCAGTGATACCTGTGATGGATGTGAACCGGGACAAGTCAGAGCACATCTTCGCCTGGACAGGAAAAAGGAATCTTCTGGTTAGTTATGTTATCAAAGGATCTTTTTAATTATAGCTCTTTACTTCATAAACATAATTACTTCAGTTTTAGTACAATTTTCTTGTCAACTAGGAATAGTTCTACAATACACGATGATGTATTTTATTCTTGATAATGTGTAATAATGTTAGAACAAAATTTCTCACAATTGTCTTATGTTTCAAAACATTGTTAGATTATTAATTAGAAATTCAATCCTGTGTCTTTCCTTTTAGTTTGCCCAGCACTTAGCAAAGAAGAGAGAGAGTTAGTCAGAAGAAAAGCTTTAAAACAAATACGGGTAAAATATGGTTTACAGGTGAGTTTACAGTAGAAGTTGATTAAGTGTTTGAAGTCTACATCTGGTTTGTGATTCCAATTTTAAGCCATAGACTTCAGTGAGTAAGGGAAGTTTTCAAGTGCACTCAGACTTGAACCTGGTGGTTTAACTCAAGCTTGGTTTTTGTACACTAAATAATAATTATGTACAAACATCTACAAAGAGAGATGATGGTAATGAGGCATGAAGCTTCTGTTAAGGAAAAGAAGATCCATTCCAATGTGTGCCAATTTCCTCATCCTTTTGAGGTGAAGTTTTCTTAAGACATTTCTATTTTGATTTCTCCAGATTAAATTTGCACTAAATTGCAGTGCTATCTTTTATTTGGAAAGGAAAACTAATGTGCAACTGAAAAAAATTATAGAAGGAAGAGGGACATTTTTTACGTTTTTTATTTTAGTTCTGCTTTGCCATAGAAGAAAGCCAACATGAATGTGCAGGCAATGCAGTATATAAGTATTCAAGTTACTTTTGTTTTAGAGATTATTTTAACTATGGGGTTACATCTAGCAGTTGTAATAAGTATTGACGTAGAAAAAAGAATGGCATCATTTCTCTCAAATTCTTCAGCTACCGAAATAATATTGATACAGAGTCTATGCACTTGCTTAGTTCTGTCATCTGTTCTGAAGAAATAGTTGCTGAGGAACAGGCTGAATGTTTAAACAAAAAGCCAGTGGCATGTCTGTATGGTTTTCTGCTAATATGGAGAAACTGATTCTTCATACCAAGAGAAAATTGTGAAATTAATGAATTCGACAATACTGTATTATTATGTGATGATGGCAATAGCATACCTCACAAGATATGTCTGTAAGTTAAGAAACTACTAAATGAGAACTATAGTTTTTTGTTACAAGATTTAGAATTCATGAAATAGGCTGAAGCTGCCTTACTTTTGGAGGGAAGCAGTGAAGTTATGAAAAATAAAGAATTTAAAGCCTGCTTTCTTTGCCTTGATGCATTTAATCTGCTTATAAAGAACACAGAATATGAAGACAACAAAGCAGTGAAGAATCCAAAGTACAAAGACAGAGCAGGAAAACGCAGAGAGACCATTGGAAGTGAAGGAACTTTCCAGAGAGATGATAGTCCTGCATATTCTGAATCTTAAAAAAATATTATAAAGGAAATATCAGTTGGTTACTAGGCTACAGTTTGTTAGATTATTAATTACTTGTATATAATGTGTTAGGAGAGCTAGAAAATAGCAAGCTATTTTCACTTCCCAGTTCATGTGCTCTTTTTATTAGCTCCTCACCTTCCATACAGAATTCAACTTGGCAGTAAGGCTGCTTAGGGCATTTTATCACCAACTCAAAAAAAACCAAAGAATGCCCCAGCTGCACTATTGACACTTAAATACTGTCTACTTTTCAAGTGTCTCTATTTCTGTTTTTTCTATCCAGTCCCAGTAAAGGTACACATACAAATTTTTCACCTGCAGTTTCTTTCATTGTCAATATCCAGCCTATCACAGGACATGTATTTACATACCTCTTAAATGACGCTTACTTTAATCTTCCTCTTTGATTATTCTTTTGCTTCTGTAGTTGCTTTTTGGATTTTTATTTTTTAAGAAATATGAACTTCTAGGTGCTCACAAGTTAGTAAAAGGAGCGACAGTGCAAGTTAGTAAAAGGAGAGACATTATCTGTTAGGATGATTTGGTGGCAAGGTAGTGATACTGCCTTTTGCCTGGTGCAGTCAATTCCCACCCACACATGCTGTGTCTTTTAACCTCTAAAGTAAGCAAGTAGTTTAGAAGGAGTTTTAAGGAAGTCAGTATTGAGCAGAGGCTTGAGATAGCTTTGGTAACCAAAGACATCCATGGAAGAGCTTGCAAAAGGTAGTACTAGGGTCTTCTGGATAGCTCTCGATGGAAGTAGGAACAGCATAGTAGTTCTGGTTTCTAGAGCAGCACATGCATGCATGTTCCTGTCCTTCAGTATTTGTGTGGAGAGAATACTCTTTGTGTTAACTCATGCTTATCAGTTATCTTAAACTTTCTTCAAAGTGAAATCAGCAACAACAACAAAGGACATAAAATGCTGGAGAAGATGGGATGGAAGAAAGGGGAAGGCCTGGGCAAGGATGGTGGTGGTATGAAGGATCCGGTAGGTGTCTCTGGTTTTTACTTGGAGCAAAAAGCAATAGAAATGTATTTGCAGTGAAAAATGTCTAATTGTAAACCACTATTCACTTGAAACATTTAAAAATACTGGCTAGGGAGGAATAATCTCAGCAGGACTAATCTCAAATCATTTTTTACTCGATGAATGTTTTGAAATTTTTCAATTATTTTGTCCCTTCAATGGAAAATGCCATTAATATCTGTGTTTATTAGGAAACTAAGCAAGGGAGTACAGACAGCGTCTAGTCATTGAATTAATAATCTCATATTTGAATACCAAGTCTGGAGGAAGATTGAAATCATTTTAAGTTATGTGACTTCAAGATGGGCTTATGGTGGAATCCTTCAATTTCTCTGAGGCTGATCCAGCACAAAAATCAAGCTAGGTGACAGGCCACGAGAGAGGAAAAGCTGGCTGAAGTCACTGTAGCCACCAGGTTCCCAGCCTCTGTTGCAGCCATGGTAGCCCCACTGCACAGGGATTACAGGCTATTCTCTTGGTGAGGAGTACTTCAGAGTAATGTTAGTAGCAAGTGACATCATTCAGCACTCAAAATTCTGGTTCTGAGGTGGTGATCTGGCGCCTCATTTTAACAGTACTTTACATGTCCATGTATGATATAGGTATGTTAGAGCCTTAAAAAGAAGCATGTGGGGAGCGAGGGTGGAATTACTATTATAAAATATGATTTAAAGTATTTAAAATACCTAACTTGCAGTTACAAAAATATTAAATGTATTTGACAGATCCAGCTTCAGTTACATAAGACGCATGCAGGTTTGGGTACCAGCAGATCAGCCTCAATTGAAGATGTTCAGATCATCCAGAGCAAGAATAAAAAGAACTGGGATAAAGCAAGAGAAAGGTTTGCTGAAAACTTCCAAGAACCTAAATCACAAAGGGATACTCTTAAGATTACACCTTGGGTTAGAGGGACTGTAGACTAAAGTATCTGGTCCCATAGCAGGGTAATTCCTGTATGTAAATAGTTAGGAGAGAATTTATTTTTATTCTCTTTTCTTTTGCTAAAGCAGAAGTTTGGTGATATGTAAAATACAGTTGTGGAAAAAGTTATCCAAGATTATTATGTTATTTGGTTTTCTGTAGTCTTCATGCTTTTATAAAAACACATTTTTAATACAAAATGAATGGAATTTAGGGGGATATTCAAACTTAAGTACTTGAAAGTGATTGTCATCATAAGCAGGAGGTTTCTTCAGTTGTGTTTTTAACACAATTCTTCATGGAAAGTAAAACATTTGTTAAATTTAAATATTATTACCTTTAGCATCTGAACAGTGGTTTAAAAGCAAGCGGAAACAAAGAAAGAAACAAAATCCCCCAGATCCGTACTAAGAGCATTATACTGCCTTTCCTTTCTTCTGCCTATTCATGATTGCCATGAAATGCTCAGCAGAGTTCAGTACTAGTCACATGTCGCAGCTTACCTTAAGGGGAGAAAAAACTTGGTTTTAAATGATTCATCAGTACTGTTCAAAAATAAATATTGTACTCCATGAAATAAACTACTAGCATTGGTGAAGAAAACAATGTTCAGAGATGGCTTGTAGCAAAATTTTCTTCTGTGAAGAACTTCAGATTTGTTTAGTAAATCTGTATCATGCCTTTAAAAGAGGAGGCATGTTTAGAAAACTGCTGTCTATGTGTATTATTTACTAACTTCTTGTTCTGACACATCCATTGCTGGCAGTGGAGCATATGCCAGAAAAAAAAAAACCAACCAGTTGGTTTTTTGGTGGGGAAGGATTGCCAAACTGCAGCGAAAAGCTTGGTATTTATTGAATATTCCTAAACACAATAAATCGTTGTCAATTCAAGCAGTGTGCTTCTTGATACAATCTTGTGCATATGCTGGATAGGATTGCTTTTCTAAAATGGTAACAAATCCTGGTTTAGTCAAGTTAAAGTACTGATATCTGTCCAAGTAAGGGAAACCTCGCAGTCTCATCATGCTACTCGATCATGCAGACAAGTGTCAAGCACTGTTGAGTAAAACCAGGACAAGTTGCTAGCTAGTTATCTAAATATATCTTTAGATGCATACAATGTAAAGGAAAATATTCAAACTGTTATTTAAAGAATTAAATCACACAAGTTTTCTTAACTTGAAGCATGCCTTACTTCACCAGTAGAGTTGAAGATAGTTACAAGCACTCTGAAGGCCCGCAGCAGTATTGCTTAATTAAAATCAGTTCACTGTTTGCCTTTGTAAGCAGTTGGGTTTTTTCTGTTTTAGTGATAGTTATGAATTATTGATTACGCTCTGTTGCATTCCTGTATATTGACAACTTCACGTTTTCAAGGGCTACCTATTTCTAGCTGTGAAAAAAAAAATTTTTCTATACGAAACAGCTACATTAAGCTTTAGTTCACCACATATCTAAAACAGCACTTCTGCTACTAAGAGGAAAAAGCCTCTGTATGCTAAAAGAAAGTTTTTGCCTTTTTTTTTTTTTTCCACCGTTGACTTCTGTGGTCTTGATAGTAAATCAAACTACAAATCTTCATCTGAAGGGAGAGCAAGACATCTTGTACACAGTACTTTAGCAGGAACCTGAGCATTCCCTCTCCCCAATTATTAAACTAACAGCTTTAAGAAAAGTCAGTCACTGGTTTATTGTTGCCTTGCAAAGAAGAAACTTGAAAGGATTTAACTGGTTGCATTTCATAAAGTCTTTGAAGTAAGACATCATTTGCCTTCTGTGAGAGGTGCGGTCTCATGCAGCCAAGCACTGACTGCGTTCAGTACTGCAGCTTCCTCTTTCAACAAACAGTTCCATACAAAAAGTCAAAGCTCAGTCTCAGTGTAGCGCTGGTGTGACAAATCCCTTTACCTCTTGATGCTGCCTAGGAAAGTGGAAAAAGTAGTGCTGTTAATACACACAGCATTGCTAACAAAAAACTGAAAATAAAGTCTGACTAATCCTCATCAAGCACTTGTGTGCCTTTATGGAGTAGGAAGACTTTTACTGAGCTGAACAGGGCTTTTCATCCCTTACTTGACTGACCTCTTAGAAAGTTTTTAAGTACAAATTATTTGGGTGAAAGCCACCAATGGTGTGCAAGCCTTATGTGCAAATGCAGTACTGCTTTCCCTCATGTCAGGAGGGGAACATGAGTTGCCATTGCACTACTATAATTTAGGAGGCTACAACCAGTAAGATACAGCATGAAGTTTAACTGTCTTACTTTCTCAGTCCTCCAACCATCCTGTTGTCTTTTCCAACTTACCATACTTAATATTCATCACTTAGATAAAGTTGCTTTTCTGTACATCCAGAGTCAAATGTTTTAGCAGTTTACTGTGTGCATATATATTCACTAGCAATTTACGTAATCCTACAGCTGTTAAGAATAACATTACATTCACCAGTTTATATACACTATTTTCTGTAGTCCTAATAGTGAATTTTGCAAAGCAGCAGATTACCAGACATATTTCTGACATTTAAAATAAACTAAGAGTAGGTATGTTCGTATCTTCCACGCTGAACAACCCAGCTTGCAAGTAAAAACAGGAGCGCGTTCGCCTGCACGCGAAAGCTACTGGGCTAAACACCTGTGCAAATAGGGCCTCTGTACTAGTGTACGCGTATGAAATACTTCTACAAAACATACCACAGATAAAACTGGGGTTTCTGTTCTAGCAATAACAGCCCCTTTCCTGCTCCAGCTGGTTGTGTGAAGTGTACAGGCAGGGGCTTTCAGGCAGTAGGTAACAAACCTGCAGCAGCAGGAAGAGACATGAAAAACAGCATCCTGTTACGAGCAAGATGTCTTTAAATGCGCATACCAACAGATTTTGTTTCATATGGACTTTCTGTAAGTGCTGTGGATCTTTGTGACCACTGAATAAGAGACTTTTTCCTCACCCGCCTCCCGCCTTACAAGTGTTGTCCATCCGCACCGTGTTTCACCCCGTCTGCCCCTCTCTGCTGAGGGG